ACATTATTGTATTTTGTTCGAAAAAAAATTTTAAAGCAAATATTAATGCCATGTTTAATATTTAATTAATAACAACAAATATACAAAATGTAAACATAAATATAATAAAAAGAAATAATATTTAATTGCTGATCGGATGCTTTTTACTTGTTAGCGCATTTTATATTAAATTTTCAAATTAAATGTCAATATATTAATTTTGCTTATTATAAACTAAAATGTACATACATACATAAATATTATTACAGTAGAAGAGAGTATTCTGCTTAATAAAAATAATATTTTATGCATGTTAGCTTTTAGCAGCATAATATGCCAAATTTCCACATGGGCATTCTACACAAGAAAGCATTCTTTACAAGAAAAACAATAACCAAAGTAAAAGAGAGCATAGTTTGCATTGAAGCTATCTCTCGGCAAAGGCTTTAGACGGAGCTTAGTTCCGGGGAAAAAAAATAGTTTTACTCACCAATTACATGTAAACCTGATATAAAAAGATCGAGCAACAAAGGAGGCTATGACAGAAAGACACTAGTATTTTGCACTTCATAGCATGAAAATGCTTGTAAGTGATGTTTCAAATTTCTTCTTCTTATTACTTCTTTATTAAGCTGAGTAAAATTTATGCTCAAATTATTAAAAGTTAGTTTTGCGAAGCGCGTATTTAAAGGAAGTTGCGTTTTTTTTTTTTGTAGTAAAAAACATACCGGGTCTGTTACTTTTTTACAATACTTTAAAGTACACATTTTAATATTTTACAGGTTTTGCAATTGAAATTAAATGTTTTTATAACTAAAATCATATAGATTAAAAATTTGTTTTTTTAATTTTTACGATTAATATAAACTTAATATAAAAAAATTGTTTTATTTCAATTTGTAGTGAATTAAATAAATAGTCTTTACGAATAGATATATAATTAATATTTACATATTTACGAGTGCTTGTGATATACGACTTAAAATTAATAAATATTCTTCATAAATACACCTTAAAATGTGTTTTTAAATATGTTGGTAAGTAATTTTATTGTTTATTACTTATTTACAACGATTATTTAGCAAATTTGTGCTTAATTTCTATATATAATACTTTTTTTAACATTTTAAGAATTATTATTTAACATTTTGAAATTATTGTAACGAATTAAGAATTTAAAATCTTACTATCAATACTCGTACTAAATATTTTTTACTGTAAGAAAGTTCATCAATTCACCATATTGAACTAATTAGGCAAATGCTTCAATATATATACAGATATTGATATATATATATACAGATATTGAAATTGATATATATATATATCAATTTTGTGTGTTCAAAAGTTTCTGGTATTTGACATTTGATTACTATATATATTGTTTTGGATGATTGATTACTAATGATGACTAGTTAACATTAGAAAAGCTGAAATTAAAAATAGTTAAATAAAAATTCTCTTGTTTAATTTATTATATGAAAAATCGTTTTCTATAAAAACAAACTAAAAAAACATCTTTAAAAATATTCTCTCAATTTAATAGATTTACTGACTGAATAAATTTATTTTACACTTTTATAATGTCGCAAAATTTATTTCGGTATTAAATTTGCTGTGTTTAAATTAATTTTTGGATCAACCATATTCATTCAATTTGCCTACAAAAATATAAATATTCTCAAAAGAATAGACCATAAATTAAATTAAATATTACAATATTGTTATATATTTAATGCAACGGACTGAAGCTCACTGTGCTTTAATTTTAATGAAAATGTTTTTTTTTTTGAAATCCTTTCACCTCGTGTATATAAGACACATAATTAATTTAAATTATATTATTTTAACTGCAAACCGAGCTTTATTAAATTAATTGAACTTAAATAATAATAGTATATTAATGTCATATTTTTATATAAAAATGAAACAGCGTGTGGGCTTATTTACTTATATGACTGAACGTTTATGTTGACATTTTTCTTTCTTGGATGACCTATATTTAAAGCAATATGTCCGTTGAACAAAATTGCATCAAAAATTGATTGCGACAGACAAATTAATTGATTTATTTATCTAACCTTAATAAAATTAGATTTATGAAGTTTTTATTTAGTTATAACATATTAATCTTAAATTTGATCAACTTTTTGCTCTTAAGACAATTTTATTAATCTCTTGACTACTTAAGGAGTTCTTGTAACAAAAATTTAAAATACATATAAAATATCAACTGATAAACAAAAATAACGACATTTGAACAGCATTTTTATTTAGAAAATACATCTAAAATACTTAATTTATAAAGATAATTATGTTAAAAACGCAGCTCTCTGACTCATAATTTATATATGTTAATAGATTTTCATGGCCATCGATTTCTTGGATACAAAAGTAAAAGCAAATATACAACACTTATGTTTACGGTTTTGATTGGTTTTTTTTCATACATTGTTTAGTCCTTCACATTATATGTAAAAATCATTATCATTTATACGCAATGGTCTGTCGACAAGTCCATGTAAGTTTGACTAATCGCAAAAACTAAATCTCATCACTAAGTTCTTGCACAATCTATGATTATTAAAAGATAAATATTGGAAAATTACTCATAACTTTTCTGAGTAAAGATTGCAATTGATGTATCAATCGATTCTAGTTGTAATTAATTCAAACTCTAATTTCAATTCTAATTGTTCTCGATAATCAATTATTCCAAAGAAACTGTTCGAAATAAATCAGATATATGTTATACACTATTTTCCTAAACCTTAATATGTTTATCGCAAAAAGAATGTTAGTCAGACCATAAAATATTGAAAAATATTGAAAAATAGACACGACTTACTTTTGTATTCAGGTTCATTGTATGTCTGAAATGTGAAAAACTCAAATTGATGTATCAATCGATTCTAGTTGTAATTAATTCAAACTCTAATTTCAATTCTAATTGTTCTCGATAATCAATTATTCCAAAGAAACTGTTCGAAATAAATCAGATATATGTTATACACTATTTTCCTAAACCTTAATATGTTTATCGCAAAAAGAATGTTAGTCAGACCATAAATTGATGGAATTCATTATTATATTCAGAATTCAAACCCATAGATCTTACGAGATCAACGCAGCTGTTGAGTTGTTGTGTTTTCTTCCTTTTTTTCGTAAGTTTTGTAGTTGCAGATTTCAGCCTTTAACTATATTGTTTAATTCAGCGATGTTCCTTAAATATGAGCCTAAACAATTAAATTTTTGATACTATATTTTAACCTACAATTTAGCAAAAACTGTTTTACTGAAGGGAAAACTATGGATAGAATTAGAGTGATGTGACTTTGACTACTTTACATGTCAGTTAAGAGAGTCGCAATATTATATATTGTAACATATTATAATGTATATTGTATTGTGAATCATTTTACAGTTCATTGGAAGTGTAAGGTGAGTGCAGACTGAAACTGACTAACACTACAAGTCCACAATATGGGTGCTGACAGGCCACTACATTTTAGAAAGGAAAGCAACTTCAGTATAGACTTTGTCAGGATTATAGCTTTGTTGTTGAATAAAAAACTGCACTTTTCATGTGTCAGTATACTTAAATAACTTAAACAAGATACAACCTTTTCTGATCTCCTTTATTTCAAGCCCAACATAGTTGTCATTATTAGGAATATTGTCCCTAATAGGAGTATTATCCCTAGGGATAATAAAAATTAGGAATATTGTCCCTAATAGAGGAAAAGTTTGTTAAGGGACTGTAGTTAGATTTCTTTTACTTGAATATACGTGTGTAAAATGCTTCAGACTTCTACCTTTAAAATGACACTTCAGCGCTGACAGACGTAAAGTACATTATTTGCGTTCAAGTGAGCTTTCACTCCAACCTTATCCAACTTATTAGGACAACTTATTATTAGGATGTTACTTATTAGGATGTATTATTAATTATAAATTTAATTGTGTGTTTAATTATTACTAATTTTTTTTCTCTTTGATTTTTTGAAAAATAGACACGACTTACTTTTGTATTCAGGTTCATTGTATGTCTGAAATGTGAAAAACTCAAACAAATACTGGAGAGCATAACATGCTAATAGCTACTTTCGACGTACCAACATAACGTGTATAATACGTCACATTAGATTGGTCATTAAGCTGTCGGCTTACTCTTATGAGTTTTCCTTGGGATATAGGTTTTTGTTGCAACAGCATAATGTTGAGAGTAAACCTTTCTGTGCTGGGTCCCAAAATAGATATACGATTTGTGTATCGTATATTTTTATTTTGTATATCGTATTTTATTAATTTGTATATTCTTTTGATCTAAAATTCTTCTCGTTGGGTGTCAAAATAAGCGTATCGCCTGCATATCGTAAAATATTTTTTTGTTAATTTTTTCTTACCAAGAGTGACGCGTCTTTATGACGAAAAGAAACTATTTAAAAGTTAAACGGATTCGAATAGCCTTGAAAAGATATGGACAATATTTTTAATTTATTTTTTATAATTTTTTTAAGTAAACCTAAATTTGTTGCTAGTTTTCATTTATTTCTTATTTAATTAATTATAAATTTTATTAATTGAGTAGGCATAATTTTTTTTATATCATTTTTAGTATTCTGTAAAAAATGTTGATTAGCAATTTGTTTTTAAGTACACTATTAATATATAAATAATTAAAATCTATTCTAATGGGCCGCAACAGAAGTTAATAAAGTATAAAAAATTGTTATATTTAAGAGTTATTTATTTAATACAAAATCATTTGGTTACGTTAAACAAATAAATTATAAAAAATTCATTATAGCTACATTTTGCACATACAATATAAAATACAATACGTGGAAAAAATTAGTAAAAACATTATTTTAATAAATATTTTATAAATAGCTTAATTAATTAAGTACTAAATGCATTAAAATTAATTTTCACACATATTTAACAATACACAAACACATATTAAGCACTTTAAACATTTATATAAATTTATATAAATTTTTTCAAAGCCTAACGTTTTTTTAAGAATATTTCAACTAATATTTTAAACTTTAAATATTAAAAATATGCAAATTTCCTGCAAGTGCACAGTTGACCCAGGGCCACAAACACGTCTGCGGAAGCCGAAATTGGCTGTCAACCGATTGAAATTGATTTAATTTTTACTTATGCCTGAAATGTCAATATTAACATTTTAAATCGAATTTTTAAATTGAAGTTTTAAGTTTTGGCTGTGATGTCAGGAGCACAAAATATTGGACATTGCCTTGGAGAAAATCAATTTAAAATTGAATTTAAAAGTTTATTCACATATATGTCTTTTCGTTTGTCTGTTTAGGATAATTTACTAAAATATTTTTGACCTACGGATTACACATTTTTAACTTTAAACTCATATCGGAACTGATTTTGAGTTGTTGAGTTACTCTTGACAGCTACGAGCATTTCAACCTCGGAACATGGCCATATGGTTTGGCGGTGGTTTCTTGCAGATACGTCGACATGTCAAACGCCAAAATGCGGTACGAAAGTCCGGATTGTAGAATGCATAGATAAATGGATTGATAGCGCTATTAACCCAACCCACCCAAGTTAGAAATGTCGTTATGCCCTGCAGTACAGCAGCTGGCGGCAGGAATGGTATGAGTAAATAATAGACAAAAAATGGTAACCAGCATGCGATGAAGCCGCCCATAACCATTGTCAATGTTTTGGCAGTTTTTGTGTCACGTTTTGTAGTGGAAACGCGCATTGGTATGCGATGATGGGATGTGTTGTGCTGGTGGGTGTGCATGTGCCCATGTTGCTGTTGTGAGTTTTGCTGCCCTCGTACTTGATTAATTTTAGCAACTTGTGCCATTGGTAATGATGTAAGACATGTCTCAGAATATGAAGCAGTATTTTCAAGATATTGAAATTTTTGCATTGGCAAGGATGCAGCACGTTTTTCGCTTACTGCAACGCCTACTGGTGTCGTGTGTATGCAAGGTCCGCCATATTTGCAACTAACTGCAGAACAATGTATAAGCGATGAGAGACGAGAGACCTCAACTAATTCATAAAATGAAGCTTGATGAGGCATAGCAGTCTCAGTAATGTAATTCTTATTGCATTTGCTACATTTGAGACTGTTATTCTTACTTCCACTGGTCCAACGCATTTTGAATGAAGGAAATTTCGGTGTGGCACATTGGAAATGTTCGGATTCTGATAAGAAATTATCGAAATCAATTTCATGATCTGCTGTTCGTTCAGAGTTCTGAAATCAAAATAAATTACTATTTAATACGATTCATAATAAAAATGCAAAATATATATAATTTTGAAAAAATAAAATTTTGAATAAATAGTTGAACAGAAGCAAAATTATTACAATTTAATAAAATAAATTTTTTAACGGTGTTGCAAAAAAAAGAATATAATTTCGAAGCTATCAAAATTGAATTTCACTTTACGATGTAATTGTTTATTATTAATTGATTTATTACGACTCATCAAAGAAATGTATTTTGTCTTATAATTGCTAGTTCCTTTTTAAAGTATTATATTCCCTTATTCGCTGAAGTTTCACAGTATTGTTAAAAAAAGCTAGCAGGTTCATTATAGATGAGAAGATCTCGATGAAGCTTAAGTGAAAAGAATGGGCAATGACTGAACTGCAAAAGGAGAGGAGATGACAAGTAGATGCTGAGAAAGACCAATTTTTCACTAAAAAAGATATAATTTCTTAGTCAACCGACAATTTTTCTATCAATGGACAAACTGAAATTAAATGACGAAAAGTTATGCATTTCAATATTTGTTTTAATCATTTTCTTCTCAGTCTATATCACAAACTTTCATTGACGACAACTTACACAAAACATAAATTTTAACATAAAAAATGCACAATCGGTCTAATATATGATAATAGAAGTTGCAGGACTCTACGAGTATGTTAAAAAACTATATGCATACTTTAAGGATGGGATACCAGCATTTTCGGAAAGCTATAGAAACGACGAAACAGTTTAACCAATATTAGTGCTCTTGTGATATTGAAAAGAGTAAAAGGATTAATAAGATATAAAAGTAAATGAAGAACTCGTTTTTTCTAGAAACAAACGAAACTGAAATAATAGTCAAAAGTAGCATACAAATAGAAATGAATAGAGAGAAAAGAGAATACAAAGAAAGAAGAGAGCGAGGAAAAACATAAAAAATTAATAATTAAATAAATAAAAACTGAGAAGAAGAAGGAACAAGATAAATGACAAGATTGTTTACTATATAAAAAAAGACAAACAAACGAGAGAAATATGAGGAACATATAATAAGCTAAAAAAGAAAATAATGAGTGTGTATAACAATAAAGAGAGAGTAAAAAAATTACAAATGTGAAAGAAAATGTAGACCAAGCAATGAAAGAAGAAGAGTATGATATAAAAGAAAAAATAGTTTATATATAACAATTTCGAGGGAAACAATAAGACGAAGATGAAAAGAAAATTTAGTTGACAGAAAATATATATGGAAACAGTATTAAAAATTGTGATTTATAGAGAGAGAGAGAGAGAGAAATGATAACTAAAAAACTTGAAGAAAAATGTTTAAAAAGACATAAGATTCTGCAAAACATAGATAACAAATTTATGTGAGTAGATCAAAGATAAATAAATCTGAAAGTAAAAAGAGTTGAACAAAATGTCATCTAATGAAACAATCAATGAATGGAAAGAAAAGGGACAACAGTGAAGAAGGTAGAAATATTTGAATTAAATAACTGTAGTTCACCTAAATAGAAAATATCAATGATGTATACATAACCGGCCAGCAACGTATGGCAAACAAGAAATTATATTCCAAACTCAGATAGAATTTAATTTAGGTATTAAGTTGTATGCCTCTTAAATATTAAATCTTTATCAAATAAGATTCAAGCACACTCATATTTGGAAAGAAAGAGTGAGTTTTTTTTAATTATGGAAGCAAAAACAAACAATGGTTTTGTGAAAGAATCTCCAACTTCAGAGAATAAAATCAAATAGGTGTATTCTTCCGTGTGTGGTTTTCTTCGCGTTTGTCTACCAACACTAGAATAAATTTATTTATAGGTGCTTATATCGCATATTGATTCTGTAAATGTGCTACATTATTGTAATAAAAAATGTAAAAACTTACAGATATTATTTCTACTCACAGTACACTTTTTATGAATATTTGTTTGAAAATGTACTTAACTATTAATATTGCACAATTATAAAGTATGCTATGTTCATATATGTACATATATATATACATGATATCATATGTGTGTTCTTTACATATAAATAAATCTGGTTATATGTACCATATTATTGATGATATTTGGGTAATACTACTTGGGTCCAACAAAGCAAGTTGAGAAAAATTTAACCCAAGAATTGCGGATGATATAAGATCTGCAGTTCTCGATAAAATAACTTTGTATACCACGCTACAGGCAACTACATCAACCGTTGTTAAAACACACTTTCGAAAAGCAATCAAACATTTTTCAAAGTGGAGGTGTTAAATATTTCTAAATGCACTGGTCTCTTCAAAATGAGTTGAAATAAATCAATAATAAAATAAGACAATGCCAACACAATTCGAAATTCGCCTTTATTCCTTCAAGAATTGCACAAAAAAAAAATTGTTATAATTACTTTTACGTAGTTTTTACTATATTTATATAAGAGGTAGAAGGATTCGAATAGAAAAGACAAGATAAGCATATGAAAATTAATAAAAATAAAAAGTAAATTAAATTACAAATTTAGTACAATTTCAATACTAAATTATTATTATTTCCATATTTATAAGCTTTGGGAAAGGGCTGAATTATAGTTAATGTACGTAAGTTTAGTTATTTTAGGAATTTTATTTTCTAATCGATCAATTAATCAACAATCAATTTATTTAAAAAACTATTTAATAACAATTTTTAAGTAATCAAAAATTTTGATTCATAATTATTGTTCTTTTATATTTTTTTAATGGGTTGGTTGCAGTGTCGTGTCTACAGATATCTTTCCGCTTTCTATATATAGCGATTTAACACCATTTTAATTATTGAATATTATTTGTTAAAAAGTATTAGATTTTTTGCATTTTACAAAATATTTAAAAGCTTTAAAAAGATATTTATAAAAACTTCTTTCACAACTAACCTAACAATTTCTTAAAATACAGACATGACTGCTTTCTTTTTATTTTTATTTTAATAAAAAATAAAGAAATATAATTTGTGAAACACAATTTAACAATTTAGTAAAATTGTAAAAATATTAATTAGAAAAAAAGTTTTATGGAAATGTTGTTTAGGATACGCTTCCTAAGAAGAAATTTATTATAAAAACAAAAAATTAATAATTAATTAATTTGAAGTTCACACATATTTTTTATAAATTCTTTATTTATAATCCTTTCATTTATACAAATTTGTATTTGTTATTTGTATTTGTATTCATAGAACTTCCGACGTAGTAGCATATTATATTGTATTAATATAAACAATCCATTTTATGAAAAATATTTTTAATATCTGTTCTAATCCCCAATCTGCCTCTGGTATTCGAAAATATAAAACCCATTCATCACTGAACTATGTATTTATGTAAAAAACATTTACTGAAAATGACAAGACTTACTGCATCCCGTACAATGCGCTGTCGTCGTGATGTCAGCACATAACCAATTTTCAAGTACACATACAGCATCACTGCCAGTGGAATGAAAAATGAACCCATTGCGGAAAAGATCACATATCCTTTGTTTTGATTGTAGCGACAAACTACAACACCTCCTTGACGTCGTCCTGGTTCATACCTAAGGATGGAATGCATAGAAAAATAGTAAAAAATATAAATTTTATTTATAGATATTTATTATTTTAAAAATTTATAGTATTTTATATTTTAGAAGTTATATCTATACATTTGCAACACAAAAATATGACTTTGTTTATATTTGGACTTTAAAATCAAGTAAACGCACATAAAATAAATTGGATTAAGGCTGTCATATGTATACTATTTCATAGCTTATACTTTAGTAGGATGTATGTGGAATTTTACTTAAATAATATATTTATAAGAGAAAAATATTTAAGAAAAAATTTTATTTCTTTTTTTTTTGAATTAAGATATATATGCTTTTAGCAGTATTTATAATAATAAATCATAATATTTAAAGTTTTTACAAATTTAAGAATTCCACAAAAATGCAAAAGCCTAGAATATATGAATATTCTAAAATAGTTATAATGGAATTTTAATACAATTTATTATTAGATTATTTAAAAACTATAAGGGTTTTTCTAAATACATTTTTACTTATAACAAAAATTTAAATAATTCATCATATTTAAAACATACTTACCATCCCAAATATGGAGGACAAGTGATTGATAGTGCCGTTACCCACACAATAAATATCATCATCAATGCTAACCGTTTGGAGCGACGTTTTTTGGAATATGTTAATGGCTGCGTAACTGCTAGATATCTGTATGAATAAGTTATGTTTATATTAACTGTTTATATATACAGAAAGCAAAAAATATTGTAAGCTATGGTGTGATGTGTAAAAAATGTCATTAAAAAGTAATTCAAACTTCAAAAATATTACAAAGCACACATAGATGAGGTGGCGTAATTCAACTCACAGGAGAAAATATATGCGTATGATAAAATTATATTAGTAAGCCATATGGAAAAGTTCTTTTTAGTATATATAACATAAAAATGAAAATATACTCATTACTAATAAATAATATTAAGTTTGAGTTCTGCACCTTTACTTTGATATGATGTCATTATGGAAGAAAATTATTTTTTCAGAGTTACTATTTTTACACATAGGTATTTTTTTTTCCACTCTTACACTTGCTTACTTTTATTTATTTTTCTAATTTTTTTCAACATTTTTCTAGAATCTGAACCTCCTTTAAGAATAAAATTTATGTAGTAATATACATTAATTCGTATTACCCTTTAGCAATTAACACATACATTACCTTAGCTCCATGGCATTTATTTACCATTTTACTTTCATAATTTATAACAACACCAAAGTCAACAACACAAATTTTCTAAAACAATTTAACTCTGTGAAAAACAGACCCGTATGTAGGATCTGTATGTATACACTACGAAGTAGCCGTAGAATGAAGTATGTACTACGTAGCGTATACTTAATTGTTTTGTATGTAGTAGCAATTAGTTGATGTGTTGTTCTTAGGAACTCATAAGGTTTCCGTTTCATGTTACTGTGTATGCACGAGTTTCATATAAAAATGTTAAGTTTGTAAATTACCTGTCCAGACTAATGGCACACAAGCTTAGAATGGAGCTAGTGCACAGCAGAATATCCAGCGAAATCCAAATATCACACAAAATCCAACCGTATCGCCATGTACCTGTGAATTATGACCGCAAGAGCAAGGTTAGCAAATAATAAAGCAGAAGTATTTATTTTTTTATTTTATTTTTAAGTTTGAATTTATTGTGAGATGAAAATTTAGTTTTTTATTAGAAAAATTGACCAAATGAAAATTTTAAATTGTAATAATATAAGTAACCTTTCAAGCTCTCAACTAAATAAAAGAAAGTTTAATCATTTAATTATTAAACAGAGTTTAAGATATGCTATTCTACTGAAAAGAGCTTCTAATAACCATAAATTAAATTCTGTAAAAATTTTTATTAAGCTTGATAATTGGGTGAGGTCTGTATAGGAGAGAAACTGAACCCCATAAACAAGCATAAATGACACACATTCTTTTAAAGTTTTTATAAAGCTGAAAATGCACTAACATCTGACTATATGTGGTCTCCGAACAGTAATAACACTCTAACATTTAAGAAATGAATACAGTACTATCGAAATGCATTAAATATATTAT